CATTGGGTGGGGGATAGTTTACCTACATTGGGTGGGGGATAGTTTACCTTCATTGGGTGGGGGATAGTTTACCTACATTGGGTGGGGGATAGTTTACCTACATTGGGTGGGGGATAGTTTACCTACATTGGGTTGGAGGGATATTTTACCTTCAATGGGTGGGGGATAGTTTACCTTCATTGGGTTGGGGGGATAGTTTACCTTCATTGGGTGGGGGGATATTTTACCTACATTGGGCGGGGAGATAGTTTACCTTCATTGGGTGGGGGGATATTTTACCTACATTGGGCGGGGAGATAGTTTACCTTCATTGGGTGGGGGGATATTTGACCTACATTGGGTGGGGAGATATTTTACCTTCACTGTCCATTTGGGTTGTTATTTATTTTTACAACATGAATAACTACAGTGTATAAGTACATGATATTTAGTGTGGTCGTATATATCCAAGATGGCGGACATTTGTGAACAGGGGGGTTGCTCGCAATTAAGCCCCCTTCCTACTTTTGGTCTATGTTTTTTCACTAGGTGTGGGGGCTTATTTGCGGTCAAATATGGTACCTTACAGATACATTTTTCTGTTTTTTGGTGTCTTTTTAGAATGATTTCTTCCATCAATTGATTTTTCCCAAATACAAAAAAAATGAATTCACAGGTAAAAACATACAATGAAACCAACATTTTACACTGGACCCCCAAGAAAGAATGCTTGAAATAACAAGTTCATATCCCCCTATATATACACAAAATCTTTGTTCATGGTTTAGAACACTGACCATATCTCTCTCTTCATTGTGTTCATCCTTGACTATGAAGATCATGTCAAATCGGGACAAGATGGTGGGCATGAAGTCAATATTCTCCTCTCCCTTAGTTTCATCCCATCGGCCAAACACACTGTTGGCAGCAGCCAGGACAGAACATCTGGAGTTCAGCGTAGTTGTGATTCCAGCCTGGAATTAAGATTGAGTTAATGTAGTTGTGATTTACACTGGAATAAATGTTTTCAACTTATGCAAGAGTCCTATTCCATGAAATCTATAATTTTCAAGCACTACACTTTTCTTACAATGTATACAACTTATCAAAAAAAAGTGAATGAACACATTTCAAATTTAAACTTCATTTTGAGATGTTTAACTTGATATCTTTTGTCTAAGAATGAACACTAAATACTCTATTGACTAACCTTGGCAATAGATATAGTCTGTTGTTCCATAGCCTCATGTATAGCAACTCTATCATCTTCTCTCATCTTATCAAACTCATCAATACACACAACACCACCATCCGCCAGAACCATGGCTCCACCTTCCATCACAAAGTTACGAGTGGACGGGTCTCGGATGACAGATGCCGTCAGCCCAGCGGCACTACTGCCTTTGCCAGACGTATACACTGCAATTGGCGACACCCTCTCCACAAACTTGAGCAGCTGAGACTTTGCTGTACCAGGATCTCCCAACATCAGGATGTTAACATCACCTCTTCTTGTTAGGCCATCAGGCAACCTGGGCAAATACAACAGTGCATTTAAAAGGCAAATAAAGCAGAAACCAATAAAGCAGAAACCAGTCATTTCTTTACAACTTCCTTTTGGTGAATACCACCGTGCACACACTTCATTATTCATTCTATATCCATTTTGAAAGGTGTTAAATTTTGACTCAACATCACACCAATTCTTACTTTTAAAATCAAACAACTGACCCTAACTGGACATTTACAATATATATAAACTAAGTGGTGTCCAGCAAAATAAATCTGCTAAAATGTTATTATTAACCCCTGTAACAGGAAATCCCACCTCTTCCTGGAACCTCCAAACAGCAATGAGGCGATTGCCTTCTTCATGTCAACACATCCGTAGATGGAAGGTGCAATGCTCTTGGCAATGGTCTCGTAGATGTTGGTGCTACTGGCTAGTCGACGAAATTCCTCCTCCTCAGCTGGAGTTATAGGGGAGTTGGTGCTCCTGCCGGACCCATCTGTATCCACCTGTATCCCAACCACACGGAAGTACGGACTGCGGATACCAACATTTACCTTGTCCCGTGTGTTTTTCTGTAATCATAATTCATATTATAAATATCAAAGATGTCAATTTTCTCTTGCAACTTTTAAAACAAGTATGTAGGCAATTATTTCAATAAATTCTTGTTTTCAAACATATAATTTGAATTATGAAAACCGGTGATCATTGGATGTGACCAGGCACATTTTTTGTCTGATCAGTACCTTTGAACTTTGGAAGGTTTTCTTGATGGAGAACACACCAACAACGGTCACCCTATTCCCTGGTACAACTTTGTCACACAAGTATCTGTAACCAAACATTACATTGTATTTTCATTCCTACATATAAAACACAAGAATGAAAAGGTACACATATAAAGGAACACATGTTGCAGTGTCATAATTCTTTCATCAAGACATACTTTTTCTATCTACATGGCATTGCAAATGATACAAATGCCTACACATGCTCAAGTTGACTCTTAACTGTTTATATCTTGTGAGCATGCGATACAAAACTAGTTATGTCTTTAATTACGATAACAACGTAGTTATTGATAATTATTATAATTGTGTATGTATCCCAATGTATGAAATGTGATTAATCTGATCTGTTCAGAAATGATGTCACTTAAGTGATGACAATGATTTTCTATAAGTAACCATGGTGATTGTGACCTTTACCTTGGCACTCTGAAACATGATCTTGTTTAAGGTGTTCTTATACTTAACAAAGACACGAAGTTGATTTAAAATCTGTTAACAAGGACTCGTTATCATTCTTACCAACACATTTAGTTTGATCAAAAACAATTCACACCTGAGTTACAGATTGCTAGATCCCTTCCACAAGATGATAATGAAATCATCATGAAAATAGTATATTTTTACCAGGTTCTGTACGGTTCTTCACAATAATCTGCCTGTATTGCACATGACTGACATTTTAAATTTAGTGAAAGTGCTTACCGATCACAGTACAGCTGCATGTGACGAGGCAGTTCACCGTTGGGAACAGCCTCTGGAGCCTCCTGCAGCTTCAGGTTCTGGAAGTCCACACACTTACACTTGTCTGGTACAATGAAGAAGGGGTCTATAGGACATTTAGGTCGGCCAGCTTGTTCTCTGTCAGCAGTTAGAAAATGGATGTTGTTTACAGCAATGTTATCTTTCACAACAATTGTCTAATTGTCAGTAGAGCAATGACAACTTTATTTTGATTTATAATATAAAGTTTTGTGACAATTGGATAAGAAATGGAGTCTGTAGAGCAATGATGCCATTTAAGATGTATTGTATACCTCATGGTGGGAGTATGATTATGATGTATTGTATACCTCATGGTGGGAGTATGATTAAGATGTATTGTATACCTCATGGTGGAAGTATAATTAAAACTATCTGTCTCACTTTAAGGTCTTGGCAACCCCCTTCAAATTCATATACATTTGTAGGTCTTACTTTAGGCGGAGATGTATTTTGGCTTATGGACCAGAAGACTAAATATTAGATATTTCAATCATCTCTATGGGGAAAAATAAAAAGTTTGTATTGCAATAAAATTCTGAAAATGTTCATCTTTGGAGCTAAATAGGGTAACATTACTACTATTCTTTAACCTCTTTTCCCCATAATGACACCATATGACGCACCTGCCAAACCAATAGATATATATAGGCTTTCCCCTTGGAGGTCATAAAGAAAATTATGACAAAATATGCAGATATCACTTCATCATCTTTATTAACACTTGTTTTGTAGCTTTTGTGGTCATATCATGCACCATAATGATTACAATTTAATAAACTTGATGAAATTTACTAAGTTGGTTCTGCTTTTTTTTTTTTATTTCAAGTTTTAAAGGTAAAATACCTGTGAAACACAGGTAAACAGTAACTAATTATGGATAAACACGTGGAATATTTCAATGTTTTTACAAGAAACAGTCATGGCACATACAAATTCACGGTCAATATAACTGTTCAAACCAAGAAAATTCTTCCTCTGAAAGATTCATTAAATATATCTAAAATATTCTGTAAATATGCATCATCTTCAATGTCAGATTCTAGGATAAAATCGGCATCCATGCTTCATGTTTATATTTTCAAGGAACGTCCGGAAGGTCACCTTGCGTCATTATCACGTTGCGGTGTAAACTCTTGAGAGAATTTTCGGTCTACTGGTGTGATGTAATCTATCTAAAACCTGATTAGTCAGTTTTTTTTAGCACAGCAGTAGGGAAATTCCCATTATTAAACACATTCTGAAGACGTCAATCTGTGTCATTATTGAAATGACCGTCGCATCATTATGGGGCAAGAGATGTAATACTATATGGGGAAGAGAGTTAAAAGAAATTAATCAATTAGAGTGCAGACCACATATGCGATCACAATGCCATTTCCTTTACTTACGTATTGCATTTTCGAGGTAGAGCATAGCCCTCCATTCCTGGGTTAACAGCAATATTGTTAAGGATGTTCTGACAGCCCCGACACTGAAGTGAAAGCTTTGTGGCCTTAGCTTTAATACCCGAGGCTGCTATCACGATCCCAGGAATCTTCACCAATTTTGCCATTTGTTCAGACTACAAACATTCAAGAACAGTAATTAAAACCAGCACTTCCTAAATCTGAACTTATTTTCACTTTGAATCTCTTTTTTCAAAATCTGAAAAATACTACTGTTTGTAATTTGATTTAATTAACAGATCAGCAAAATGAAAGCAGATTATATTCTTACATCAGACATTTATTCTCCATTAAAGGTGTAAAGTTTCACAACACCTGCGAGTACTTATCCTTATGTTACTGGGTTTTTTTTAAACAAAATTGTTCAACTCTTTTTCTATAAGAGGCTGACCTTGAGCTCCCTGATACTACACGGGTTGGCTGAGGAGTTCACCATGACTTGTATATCTTCCACATCTTCGTCCCCATCTGGACGGGGCCTGGTCACCTCATCAGCCACTTCTTTTGCTGCATCTTCAAACTGAAAGTACATTTTTGCAACCTTTATTATAAGTTCTAAAATACATGTAAATATAAATGTTCAGCAGTTTAGACAGAAAATTTTGGCCTAGGAAGGGAACCCTCAACACACTGATATTTTGCAATAGAAAATAATGACTCGATGCCAATAATATCACAGGTTTTCTCCGCAGGCACGTAACCACTTCTTTTCATATATTCCTTGATCACCACAAGGTGAGGTCACATGATCAAACTTCCATAAAAAAGGATGCTGATATGGGACTGTTCTGTAGTGTAGATGCAGTGCATGTTTTAAAATTACATAAAATTATGACTGGGTGTTGCTGTCTTCTACTATTGTATACTGTATATATATAGCAGTACTTCAAATGAAACCTCAATACTGAAGCCTGTTTTCTAGATCAATGAATGCATACCAATGGCAAATGTTCTGCAGGAAGTTTGTTAAGTTTTTCTGCTAAAGCTTCATCAAAGCTGGTCACATCTTGCAGATCAACTTCCAACCAGTGTTGCCCAAGGTTGTAGTTTCTTTTCAACTGGTCTCTAAAAAGAGAATAGAAGCAATGATAGGCAATGTAAGAACACAATTAAAACTGCCTGAAAATTAATTCAGCTACTCGATCATGAAGCAAGTTAGTATCTCGAAATATGTATGCTTTTTTTCTGATATTTCAAGACATGCTTTTAGTAATTAATATTATAATCCTCAACATAACCGCAGGCGCCTGAATCTGGTAAGTAAATATGTGAAAATATAAAATAGTCTGACTCTGCCTGTACCCTACTATATATAAGGGTAGGTAGACTATTTTATACCAGAACTTATACCAAATGCAGGCGCCTGTGACATAACTAAGCTTACATGTATGATCACTCGGGAGATATATTTTCTGAAGTTCTGTCAATAATGAATAACGGTAATACACACAAAAAATACATATAATATGATTTTTTAAACATATTATAGGAATTTATTTTTGTATTACTGTTATTATTCATTATTGACAGAACTTCAGGCTCCTGTGATATTTTCAAAAAATACGTCTGTTGTATCACTATCAGACACTACACGAAAATTGATGCACAGATGAGTGAATAAATCGATCAATAATAACAATTGGGTGATAGGGGTGTTACGTTAACCTTGTTTCAGTTTTTAAATGAACGATATTCTAATTACATAAACAATGAAAACTTGTCAAAACAAATTGCAATCAGCGGCCCCGATGATATGGGCACTGATTGAGTGCGGATATCACCGTCAGCGTTGTATATCTCACCGATATCGGTATGAAAAGTTCCCTTCGTGAAATTGTCTAATAAAATCTTTGAATCTCTTCTTAATTTGCTGTCTGTTGATCTGGTTTTCATCGGTTTGATCTTCAGATCCAAAGTTATCACTGAAAAAAACGCCCGCATCATCAAATCCTGCCATCGTGAAACCGTTCTCTCGCTTTGTTTTGCTCACGTGTTCACATTTGGCGCGAAATATTTCCCGTAAAAATATTCATTTCCGGGTTATGGGTTAATATTCGAAAACCCTCTAAATATATAATACAATACAAGGGGTGCCGAATAAGTTAATAATGGCGGGAAATTTATTCGGTTATAAACACAACATCGATTTTTTATGGCTAGGTCTAGATCACAGTGTTTTGTTGGAGTGTTTGAATAATTGATAAAACCAAAGTTATTGTTCGGATAGATTCTATGTTTAACGTTACTGTATTTACAAGGCAGGTAATTTAACCATGTGTTATCGACCGAGACACACCTGGCAGGTGTGTGTTCGATTTACCGAACAGCATACCAGTACATAGCAACGGGCGGCCTTGACTTCCAGTGTGTATTTGGACTGTTTAATCGTCTTACCAGAAGTGACACCGAGTGACACGGTAAAGTATTGTATTGCTAGTCTGCTTACATAGCAGATACTACTGAAGTGACTTAATTTCTAAGATAGATAATATGAAATTACAAAAGATAGTAAAGTACCTTTATAAACAATCAGTGCTCGGAAAAATACTTTGCCATGCTACTCCTATAATGGCTATACAACATAAGAGGCCGCTGGTCGTTTAGTTTTTTTTTGATAGGATACGATTTTGCCGATTGTCAAAAGTATCTCGCCGTGTAAACCTCTAACATAGTTGTACTAGAAGACTATATAGCTAGATTACCATGCACACTAAATTAATATTTATCTAAGTCCCGATGTATTAGTGCCAAAAAATAGGTGTATTTTAGAGAAAGATACATACACAGAACAGATAGTGTTTTGTAAGGTATACATAAGGTAATTGTCTAGGCCTCTTCAACACCAAACACCAATCGGTGATTCCATACATATCGCAACATTTTATAGCATACATAAATATTTTTTTAACTCATTATCTTTTTTAACCCTTTATCAATAATAAAATTATCATTATGCATATCAGAAAATACAGCATGCACTGTTGTCCCCATCTTATGTTGTTCGTGAATCACGTGTGTCACAATTAATAACTCCAGCTGGGGACGGTCAGAGGGGTCCTCCCAATGTTTTGAGCATCAGGATCTGAACTTGTTCCTATAAATATATATGACATAAACTTGTCACACATATGACTTATATCCCTTGCCTATTTGTGTACACGTTTACAGTTTTAGAGGTCGTAACATTTTCATTTGTCTTGAGAGTACTTGGTATATTTATTACTGCCAGATCTTAGTTATTTCATAATTTCAAAGGGAGATGGGGGATTCATGGATATCATTATCTGAAATGTTGTAAAAGTTGCAGATGTCTTAGATACCTGCATGCTCATAGACAAAATATTGGTACATATAATTACAATATCTGACTACAGCTATGTATTTCTTTTGGTTGAAGGTTTGGGGTTCATTGCTATCGTCACAATGGCTGAAGATACAGCAATAGAGAAGCACATCAAATCTTTTGTATCAAACAAAATTGGAGAATCTGTATACCTGGACTTGTCTAAATCCAAGTTTGTAATCATCAAACACAAAATAAAGACAGGCTCCATATCCTTGGCATCACTCTGGGTTCGTGTCCTTCAACACCGCAACAACTACCCAGTACAGCGCTATCCCTATAGAACACTGTATGAGGCTAATGGAAACCAAAAGATCAGTCTGAAGATTGACGATGTAACGATGACAGTTTTCTTGTCAACTGGTACACTGATGATACAGGGGAATTTTGTGTTGGAGTGGTTCACCAAACGATTTGAGGACATCCTGAGGAATTACGATGCCCCAGATGGTCCATCCCAACCTGTACTTGCCATGTTCACACAGTATCAAAATCAATGGGAAAGCCTTCTGGATAGGGAGAAGAAAGCTGCTGGTGAGTGTCACGTTAGCTCTGTCAAACTCAACGGTAGTGATTAATTCCTTCACACTGTCTTGGTATTTCAATAATTAATTCTTTTTTGTTTGATTTAATCTTTTAATAAACCTTTGATATCAGTTTTAAAACAAATACCCAGTATTGAATATTTTATACCCATTAAACAATGTTGACAAAATATTACCATCTGGGAATTCAAGAAATATGTGATGGTTTTCTTTCTATTAATTAGATGAAGCCTCCAGGAAACAATGGGAAAGAGAAGAAGTGGCTCTATGTAAGGCTGATGAACTACCAGTAACTGTAAAGCAAACCTTCCAAGAGGCGGATATGTCCGACCAGGAGGAGGATAACAGGACACTGCAGCAGCTGGAATTGGTTAGGCTTGATCAGGTAAGCAAATTAAAGCAATGCAGTTTTGTTTCCTCTTAACATTTAAGATGGTCACTATCTGATAGTTATTATTTATTTATAACTGCTTTTGATAGAGCAAACTAGCAAACTGAAATCCACTCTCGCCGAGTTTTACCCAAGCAAAAAGATTTTTTTATAAATTTATCAATAACATTCCGTATAAACATGATTTCTAAATGTTTACCTCTCATGATCAGAACTTAATTCCTAATATCCATTGTCTTACTTTACTAATAGTTTTTGTGAGCCGAAAACTGGACAAATTCTACTAGACATCTGGTTTCAGCGGGTTACAGTTGAGACACCAACCAAACAGGCTTTTTTGAAAGCTTTTTGCAAAACAAGTTTTCAATTCCTGTTTTTGTTACCAACTTAGCCTTTATGAATTCTACTAGACATTAACACAGTTAGTTTGTGTATGTTTCAGCTGGAGGAGGAGGACCTAGACTCCCAGTTGGAGAAGCTACGACAAGGATGTGTTTTGGATGGTCCCACGGTTGTCTATCCTCTGTGGAAATCTTTGTTGGACTGCTGGTTCAGTAACCAGACTAACAAGGTGTATCTGGCCACCCCTTTCCTAGACACTGTCAGACTCTCTGACGTCTGCCACTTGGTCCTTAAACATAAACTCACTGCAAACTTGGAAGCCTTCTATGTACGCCAGAACTGTGATCACAAACTCCAAATATCAGACGTTAAAAGGAATACACAAAACCGGCTAGAACCAAAAGACCAAGTGTTCATAGAGTACAAAGTTTACAACAGAATTGTGTATCCACTGAAGAAGTTCCACACTAAGTTCCTGGCGTGTGTAAGCAAGGGACAAGCACAAGTGGTGGTAACCAGTGCCAACTTTCACGCCGACCACTTCCACTTTCCCAACTTAGAAAGTGTCCAGTTCCTGACCATGACTGAAGCAGAGTTTATTCACAGATATCTAAGGACCATACAAGCATCACAACTGGAGGTGACAATACAGACATGACCTGTCCCTGTGTAACTTATCTCGTTAACAGATATATCATTAATTTATTGTATATCAGGTTTTCTCAGGAGACGTCCGTTACGCATAACAACTTATTTTTAATGTTGTTTTGTAGTCATTGTTAGAGTTTTTATCTAGTCTAGGATAATTTTATTTCATATTTAGGAAAGAAAAAATGATCACCCTAATACTTTGTAATAAATTCAATCTAAACCTCACTTAGGTAAATGTATTTCTTCCCTTGGTAAATACTATTTCGTAATGCTTCCGCTAGGGGTCGAACCCTGGTCAAATGCTTATATTTGGAGAAATTCTCCCTAGCCGAGTCGGTAATAAGGACCAAGATAGTTCACTAGTTTGCAAGGACTTGGGCCCTTTTAAATGGTATAAATTTAGAGAAAGAAAGAAATGATGTACACGTACAATATACCTTTTCCCTAATTCAAAAACCCAGGCTTCAATTTTGTTTTTTATTTTAAATTCTTGAAACAGGATCTCGTTCATTTTTCCCCTCCAAAGGGATGCATGCTAATTTTCAGTATCAAAATATGGAATAATCAAATAAAAGATCTATCGCCGAAATGAGAAAAAAAATCTACCCTCACAAAACTAGTCTGCAAATATTCAACAAATAAACCATGTCAACATTGATATACAATACATACCGTGATGAATGTTTACAATATAAAACATTACAAAGTTACACTTTATGGCATTGGTAGCAATATTACCAGCTATGTAATTCTTGTTGTTATTTAGAGGTGTCTTCACTGTGATTATTACACTTTAGAGATGTAATTCTTGTTGTATTTTAGAAGTGAAAGGATTAGTGTACAGTGCTAGAAATTAATTTCAAGAATCAGTAGTTAGTTAGACTAGTAATTTTCAATTTTGCTAGTGCATGTGCAAATTTCACTTACCTAATACGGTATTATTCAACATGATACTCACAGTAAGTAATATCAAACTTTGATTAGTCAGTATGGCTAGCAATTCCAAGATCCTGTAGTCCAGTTGGAGATTTCAATAATATTAGACTATCACAGGCAACCCTTATTGTCAAGCCTTCATTATTTATTTCTTTTTCTTTTTAAGTATAATTATTTATTAGAGGTGTAATAATGATCATATTTTAGAAGTGTATACAAACACAATATTGACAGGCTTATAAAACACAATGAATCCTGTATGGTTTAAGGATACAATTCACCTTTGGATAGATGAATCATAACCCTTTATTTAGAATATGGGTTGATGGTCATTATTTCTTGTTTTTTTAAATTCAAAATTGAACATAATATTATGTTTTGATACAAATAATTTGCAAATGATATGTTGATTCATGAACAGCCACTTTACAAATGATATGTTGGTTCATGAAGAGCCACTTTACATATGATATGACATGTTGTTAGGAATCCTCTTATTGATAATTACTAGACCTTGAAAGGTATTTGTTCTAAGTAAGTGAAATTTAAGTCTAATGAATTATTAAGCAGTGGATAACATTTGTACATAATTACGTTAAAACCTGACCCAATATCACTGGACCAAACCTTTTAGTCCAACTCCAGTAAGAGCTAAAGTTGTGACATTATGGAAAACTGATGGAAAGGAAGATAAAACTTGGCAGGAATTGGCCTAGAAATGTTTTCTGATATTGGACCTTCCTTAACATGTGGACTGTACTCTACCAGTCTAAGAAACAGTTGGTCCCTATGGTGTTAGTTTTATACATGTTACATTTTGGAAATGTGTACAACACACAAACTCGGTATCTTTAACAGTTTTGCAGATATTGGACACTTGTTCTATCTTCTTATTTGCACTACTATAGTTGAATGTTTCTTTCACAATTTTAAAGATGTTTGTTAAGAGTATATTGCTGCCTTTTAGATATGTTCAACATTACATTTAAGCATGATGCAAAGTTAATTTTGGTCAATGTACAATTCATTAAGGTCCTTTGGTTAAGTTATCATCCATGCAATCGGAAACCGTTCAAATCTAATATTCAAGGTATTGGATCTGTGAGAAGTCTAGTCGTATTTAGAGGATGCTTTGAGATGTTTATTTGACAATTTAACCCGAAGCTGTGAGAAGTTTAATTATGATCAAAGATTGAAGCGAATAGCTGTGATAGCATTGTTGATAATTTCAATTTTATGAAAGCTACATGGCATTTTGATAGCATTAAGGAATTTGTATTAAATCTTATATCTGATTGACCAGTATTATTTCTTTTTTTTACATGATGTAACATTTACATTTCATTATAATTATATGGTGCTTGTGTTATTTATGGAATCAAACCTTCACAATTTAAGGTGTGTTAGTAAATACTGGTGTAGTATTTTAATTGCTTGCTCACTAAAATAATTTTCTTTATACACTATAACTGCTTAATAGATGTTTACATTTTGTTTATTGTACGTAACATTGTATCTTAATTTAATTTCAATAAAATGATCAAAATGTGTTTGCTTGGACATCACTTATTGTATACGTATTTATTTTAAAATATTAAGTGTTAAATCCAAGTTGATCTTCCTCCAATAAATTACAGTCCACCATCTGGTGTATTAACGTACTTGTGCACAGTGAGTAAGCCGCAAGTGGTGCAGATAAAAACCTATATATGCAGTGCAGTTAAAAGGGAACCTGTCTATCGATGCCTGGTGTGCTGCAGCTCAGCCTTAAGGTGTTCCAGGGAGCGGCACGCTAAGGCGTTAGCTGGTAGACTGTTCCACAGCCTGATCATGTAGGGGAAAGAAGAAACGTTGGTATTGTTACGTCCTTTCGTATGGCACCAGGAACTTCAATTCATGACCCCGCCCTGCTACTGCCACTGGGGTGAGGTGTGTAGCGGGTATGTCCACTTGTTGGTTTACAATGCGGTACATCATGATGACCTTGGTCTGTGCCCTACGCTCCTGAAGGGTTGGCCACTGGAGTTGTTGCAGCATAGACGACACACTGCTGGTAGTGTGGTAGTCACCGGTGTCGGATCTGGCTGACCTACGCTGCACCATCTTGAGTTTGTTGATGTTGTTGGCTGTGGAGGGATCGCAAATTACACTGGCATACTCCATAATTGGTCTTACAAGTGTCTTATAGTACAGTTTCGTGGACACTGGTAGATGTTACGTTGTAATAAAGCTCTGGTGTTGTTAGCTTTCTTAGCGACCTGATTGATATGGTCATTCAAGCTAAGGCTGCTGTGGATGTTCACTCCGAGGTATTTTGCTGACCCTAGGATGTGGTCATTGATATGGTGTATGGAGATGTTATCGGATATCTCTTAGTTGTTATGTGGAGAATCTGGCACTTCTGGCTGGGGTTTGAATTCCATGAGCCAGTCTTGCTCCCAAACTTGTAAAGCGTCGAGGTCTGCTTGCAGTTTACTACTATCCTCCGGTACTTGATCTCTCTGTACAGCACACAATCGCAGCAAAGAGCCGCACAGTGGAACCATTGGTGAACAGTAGGAATAGGATCGGCCCAAGTACGCTACCCTGAGGCACACCATAGAGTACAGGAGCACTCTGGGACTTGCAGCCATCGAGTACCACTTGTTGTGAGCGTCCACTTAGGAAGTCTCCTATCCACCTGTGTATGTTTCCCCTCACTCTGTAGTGTTGTAGCTTGTGTAGCAGTCTGGCGTGTGGGACCTTGTCAAACGCTTTGGAGAAGTCTAGGAGAATGACGTCTGTTTGACCCTTGGTGTCGACACATTTTGCTAGGTCCTGAATAGTTAGGAAACGCGCCGCTTCCTGAAGCCATGTTGTGCGTCCGTGAGGATGTTGTGATGGTCCAGATGTTTTGCCAAGCTGCTACAAATGACGTGCTCCAACAGCTTACAGATAACATGTAAGGGAGACAGGTCTGTAGTTTTCCAGTCGGTTCTTCGCTCCCTTCTTAAAGATGGATGTAACATCTGCCTTCATCCACTCTGATGGTATTCAGCATTGTTGTAGGGACACCTGAAACATCAGCGTTGGGGCTGGGGCTATCTATGTGGACAGTTCCTTCAGCAGTCTTTTTGTTGGTACTTGATCGGGTCCTGAGGCTTTGTGGATGTTCAGGCCTAGTAATAGCTTCCTAACACCTTCCGAGATAACATGGATGGGTGGTAGATCTGGGTGTCTGGGCTCGCCCATGTCCTTGATGTTGTCGGACCTATCACTGACGTTGAAAACCTAGAGAACTGGGCATTAATGATGTTGACCTTGGCTTTTCCATCCGAGTATGTCATTCCGTCGGAGGATTCCAGTGGGGCCACTCCTGAACTGTCCTTTCTCTTGCTGTTAATGAAGCTCCAGAAGCGTTTTTGGCTTGCTGTTGAGTCTAGCGATATGATGGTATTCAGATATTCATCGTAGGCTTTCTTACAGGCATTTTGGGTTGCTTTCTTGAGCTGATGGTAATGCTCGCGGTCTTTGAGAGAGTTTGATCTTCTAGCGCGGTTGTAGCTGCGCTTCTTCGCCGAGATAACCCCTTAACCTCTCGGTTTATCCAGGGCTGGTTGTAGCGCGTTGTGGTTATCTTGGATGGGATGGTGTTGAGAATGACCAGCAGGTTGTCCTTGATATTGCCCATAAGTCCTCTATATCCCGCAGAGGTGGAGTTCTTGTCAGTGAATTTGTTGGCGAATTCACGGCAATCTTTCCTCGTCTGGTCGATGTTTGCCTTCTTCCACCAGTGTCTTTTTTCTCCTCACAGGTTTACTCCTGAGTGCATTAACCGAGGATTCCACATAAACTGCATCGTGGTCCCCCAAGCCTGGCAGTGGTACACATGTAGCGGTACACATGTATGGATCATATCCAGGAACCTGTTATTAATTCTTGAAGGATTCTGGTTCCCTTTTGTTGTCAAGGTCTCCCAGTTGATATCGGCGGCGCGTCGATTTTCCCAATACAACCTAATACTACCCAATACAAGTATCGATTTACCAAATACTATCCAATATAAAGTTAAATGTACCCAATCCAAGTAACGATGTTGTGCGGACCCGGGTATTTTTTGGCAAGATCGTCGTTATATGGAAATCCTTGATTCAATCTATTTCATTTCAATCTATTTCATTGTTAATACAAACAAAGATAAATACAATTATTTTAGATGAAATATAATAATACATGTATTAACAAATGGACCAGACAACAGGCTTAGCGATATACATGTAAGTCTTTTCCTTTATGTACCGGTATCCAATTATTTCGATTTCATTAATACATTATAATTATATTGAAATTATGGGTGGAAGATAGGACAATAACGAAAAACCATGATTTATTAACTATAATGGACGAACACACTCACTCACTTTCATACTACCATTCATAATTGGTATATTTTATATCGTTAGAACTTGCATGTATAAAGATATTTCTTATAAATTGAGAATCGTTTGTTTTTTTAAATAGGAACTAGTATGATTAAGTATATTTCTGTTAGTTTCGTTAGACATACTGACGACACCATATAATAAAACATGAAGATTTACAAAACCTAATAGATTATACACAGAGAAGATGTGATGCCTAAAATACCTAAAAAGAGGACATTCGAAGAAAACGTGTATTGCTTTTTTCTATATTTTGCACCACATGAACAGGAACCCAAGCTATGTTATATTCACGAATGGAACAGTAAACGAGTGGATACACATTAGTGAAATGATTTTGATTTTCTTAAACTAGCCAAAGTTTTTAATGTCGTAACAACAATATATTGTACCTATTAACAAGTAAACTATGTCTGAAAAGAGTGCTGGAATATTTCATTAGTGATAGATAGTAGGACAATAACGGGAAAAAAACATAATTATACTCACTCAGTCTCATATATTCCCATTTGTACTTGTTATATGTTGTATTGTTAGAACTTACATATTATAAAGACATTACGTAAAAAATAATTATTTTTTTAGGATCATCAACTATATTTCTGTTTGTTTCTAGGGTAATGTATTGGAATATAGGAGATCGCGAGCAGCAACTAATTAAGCATCATAGTTATACCGGTATTTTGAAAACTTGTGAATATATATACATGTATAAATGAGTGTAAATATTTGAATTCAAGTTTCGTTGTTCTTGTTTTATAAAATCTAGTTACCATTTTGATGAAATCTTAACCTTTTATTATTTCTGGGTATTGAGTGTTCCATGTATATAAAATGTATGCTTATTTGCCTCTATAATGAATGACTAATAATTCTATTACGAACTACATAAAATGATTATCTAAAGCTCAACATGGCCATTATCTTATTGTGTAATTTTACTTTTCCGAACATGAAATAATCTGAGCAAGTTTATGTTATTACCAGTGTAAAGCCGATGGAAATCATAAAGTTACACATCTGTACACATCTGTTTCATTTAGACAACAGTGTAGACATCATCAGATCAGACAGGGAAACAGCATTTGTAACAAAATTAGTGTAACTTGAGAGATATAGAAGACGAGTTCCATTTTATTTTGATTTGTCCATTTTATAGCGATTTCAGGCCCAGATTAATTAAAAAATACTATCACAAAAAAAAATCAATTTCTAAATTAATACAACTACTTAGTATATATAACGTTAGAGAGCTATCCAATTTAGGTAAATATTTATATTTGGCATTCAAGAGGCGTTAATTATAGGTTGATGTATTGTGGTGTTTCATAACTTTAATGTGTTAATTAAGTATTTTTATATTCACATTATTGAACGGTGTTTTATGTATACTGTGATGTCACTCTTCTGTCTACACTAATTATGTTTAGATTATGTTATATGTATATATGTATTTACCTATAAGCCTAAGGGGTTTTGGTTAATAAAGAATGAATGAATGAAGGTAGGGATTATGTCCATGTGTGATGTGATTGACATGTATTAAGGTATGGCTTTGGCCACGTGTCATCTGAACCAGTTTCACACCTGACCATTGACTGACAGGTGATGCTTGCTACAAATAACAATAACTTCTGTATTTCTTTGATTTCTTTCCGAATTATAGTAAATCATTCCCGCGATAACTTACTTCATAAATAATGAAATTAATATTTAATCCAATATCACAACGATATATTATTGTATATCATTTCCGTGGTATTTGATATAATTACTTCATAAATGATAATAATAATAATAATATACAACATTTATTTAGCGCCCTATATAATTTGTAAAATTACTCTAAAGCGCTTTACAACATATGGATAATAGTAATGGTTATATAATTGTGAAAACAAAAAACAAAGGCTTACAATCACTTTTATACATTTAAGCAAGCAATGTGTACATAATTGAACAAATAAAGGATGGTTTTTACATAACGTCTTTGCAAAGATTCTAAAATGCAGACGTGAAGAGGTGAGTTTTGTTGTCCCTCTTGAACTTGGCCAGGGTATTGGACTTTCTAATTGCAGATGGTAAGCTATTCCA